AGATTTTGTGATTGCGCCACTTAATATGTAATAATCATACATACACATTATTTCGTATTTTCCTTATTTTTCTCATGTGAATAAATGACACTGAATTTATAAAAAAAATGAACAAATAAAACCTGTTTATTTGTGTACATTATACAAGAACCTTTTAGGAAGGACAGGTTTCAAGTGAATGTGTTTATTCAGTAGTATTATAATTATCTCGAAATAACTAAAAATAGGAAATCTCAAAAGTCTTCATAATGCATGCATGACTTTGTAATCAAAGGAATATCTATATCTATCTATAATCTGTTCAAAAGAAACATTGTAGAGTGTGAAGTATGCATAAATATGTGTATCAGCTTACCTGAATTTAGCGAGATAGAGAGGGAGTAGCGAGACAGAGAGGGGGTAGCGAAACAGAGTGGGGGTAGCGAGACAGAGAGGGGGTAGGAGAGATGGGGAGGAGATAGAGAGGGGGTAGACAGAGGTGGTAGCGAGAGGGGGTAGCGTGAGGGGTCAGCGTGTGGGGGTAGGAGACAGAGAGGGGGTAGGAGAGAGAGGGGGTAGTGAGAGAGAGAGGGGTAGAAAGACAGGGTTGAAGGAGAGATGAGGAAGAGACAGAGGGGGTAGGAGAGAGAGAGAGGGGGGTAACGAGACAGAGAGGGGGGGGAGAGACAGAGAGGGGGTAGAAGAAAAGATGAGGTGTGAGAGACAGAAAGGGGTTAGCGAGAGAGGGGTAGCAGAGACAGAGAGGGTTAGCGAGAGATGAGGTAGCGGACAGAGAGGTGGTAGCGAGACAGAGAGGGGGGGAAGAGAGAGGGGGAGACAGAGGGTGGTAGCGAGACACAGAGAGAGGCGAGACAGAGAGGGGAAGCGAGAGATGGGGTAGCGAGACAAAGAGGGGGTAGCGAGACAGAGAAGGAGTAGCGAGACAGAGAGAGAGAGCGAGAGGTAGACAAAGAGATATAAACAGAGAGAGAAGTACACAGAGAGAAGCATACAGAGTGGGGCAAGGAGGTAGGTAGACCGAGATAGAAACAAGAAAACTAATGAACCAATATATAGCCTGAAAATGCTTATAACTTGATGTAATAGAAAAATATTAACAGCAATGCAAGGTAAGAGATACAGGTAAAATTAAAGGTGTTAAATTGAATAACAATGATCAGGAAATATGAAATTACCCTAGATGAAATGGTAACCGGCCAAATAGTGTAGCCAGTATAAAAATGTTTATATAATGGACATACACATTTATGTTAATTTATATCTTGACAACAGACATAGCAATATGGAGCATAATTTGAAAACAATTATATTTGAAAGCAACAAGTTCTTAAGTAGAAGATTGGATTGTCGGTTGAATTGTCAGTACTGAAGCGCTGAACCAACCAATATTCCTCGGTAGGTATGCACAGTGAATTCATGATTTGCTAAGCTTCCAAGCTAGTTTCGTAATCAACAAATAAAATTCTACTTCATTAAGCCAAAGAGAATATTGCTGGTTCCAGTACTTGACAAGCGCACAGAAGCTTTGTTTCATTAAGCAACATGCAAACAAGTAATCTATCACTTTTAATTGCTGTTGTGATCACAATATCTTCTTCAATTGTACTCTCGACTCCTCAAGAAGAAATTAGCATTGTAGATGGTGGTTGGAAAATACTAAAATATAAGGTGGATGTCGGAATGGTTGGAGAAATAGAAATGTTAACATAAGCGCTAGAATGTGAAAAGACGATAATTTCTGACACTACGGCCATGTTAAAACATTACTAAAAACAAGTGCAGAAAAAATTGAAAATTGAGATTACAATGCAGTCATTACGATTCTGACCCACAAACACAGACTGGGTAAAGATTTCAGAAGACATATTACTGAATTTTCCAGGTTGAGAATATTAATAAGCGGAGGTGGTTGTAATAAAAATGACCTCGATGAAAATTGACTGGTGGTGGAAACAACTATGTATTATAGGCTACAAATGACAAGGAATTGTGGGTAATCATACGAAACAAAATAAAATTGCATTAAAGAGCTTTGCCAAACATTGTCTCATGTCGTTTCCAATTATTTTTTTGTAAAAGAAAATTCTACTACAACTATATATTTTAGTGAGTTTACCAAACGTAGCTTTAGCTTGACACAAGGCTACGTTTATCAGGCACCTCGCGAGGATTATACACATAATTAATGCTTACTTAGTAATTATTACACCATGATGAGGTATTCATATTTTTTAAAGCGTAGCTAAACCACATCTAGATTTTTCCTTTTTAACAGATTTAAAAAAAAACATCAAGTAACTGAAAAAATATTACAAATGTTAACGTGTATGCTAGTTTTGAATAAACTAAGAGATTTACTCATCTTGTCTGCTAGAAGACTTCTTCTAGGCCCCGCTTGGTAGTGTGGAAATAAGCAGTATAAAAAGTAAAAGATTCACAAACTTTTTTGCTCTCTCTCACCCACATCATACGGTAGCGCCAAGACGAGACTCGTCCCTTCCCGGGAGATACTCTATGGTCAAACCAACTTTTTGATTTCAACCAGATCGCATATACACACGAAGACATTAGATCTTTTTAATTAATTCACTCCATGCAAGGTGGTAATGACACTAAGAAGGCTACTGGAAATTAAAGAAAGACTTCTCATAGAAAGAATCGAAAACCCAATCCTGAACAGGAAACAAGGGAGGAATTTCTACTCCTGTTAAAAAAACCGAGGAAGAATTTGAACCGGACTCCAGGCAAACATATCTACTTCTGATGAAGGAGAAAATAAATAAAAATATGAAATAAAATTACAGAATTTAAAGGGGAGACGTTAGCAGTATAAATTTGAAGTAGTCTTTAAAAAAAAAATGTAAATGCAAGAACGATTTAATTGGAGTAATATATTCACCTGTCCATCCCATAATTAGCATTTGTGAAAACCAAATGTTTTTGTAGGGTTACATTTTGCTTGTTTTTTTGTTTTTTGCTTGTTTTTTTTGGGGGGGGGTAACTTTGTTCCTCTTCTTACTTTGGAAAGTATCTTTCAGAATGCAATAGCAACAACAAGAATGAAATTAGAAACTTCATTAAGAAATACAGTTTTAAAAATGATTTAGTTGGAAAAAGGGAAAGGAAAAATAAAATTGAAATTTAAAAACCTCAGTTCAGATTGTTAAAGCAAAACAGTATAAATAAGTGTCGAAAATTCCTTCAAGGGTCATCAAAGTCATAAATACCTCAGTTCGCGAATGTCCTCAAAAAAATAAAGATACTGAAAGAGAAGGCAGACCTCAAATAACAAAGTGCTGACCTGTGCATCCCATGACTTCCGGTAACAAAAGACTACAAAATCAGTGCCTTGGAGCAGCCTCGCTTTGATAAACTAGAATCAGTCAACCACTCAGTTTCAACATCCAACAGCCGCCCCATAAGCGCGTGTAATTTCACTTATTTTTCCACATAAGATAAACAAAGTAAATAATCTGTATCTAATTTTTTGGGACTTCTATCTTTAGAATTATGTAATTGTGGACATGAATAGCCCTGTCGGCAAAGTCGATGTAGCTTGCATTTTTCCGCTTTATAATTAGCTAAAACATCAATAGTCTTTACCGAGCTATTGTTATTTGATTACAAATATATTCATAAAAACATGTATGTACTGTACTCATCTATTTTGAAAGACTTCAAAGAATATCATTACAATTAGTAACAACTAGCACTAGAGCCCGGCGTTGCCCGGGGATGTAACAGTAAGAGATAGATCAAGTATCGACCATCATAAAGACTGAAAAATAAAATTGACAAAGATTATTGTTTAAGGTTGACGGACACGCATTTTTAATTAGTTTTTTTTTTTTTTTTTTTTTTTACGAATTGGTCAAACCCAAACTCAAACAAAAACATTGTTTTCAATTGTTATGAGTCTATCGATTGAATAGAATTTTATTATAAACAATTGTCTTGTAAATGGAATTTTTAAAGCATTCTGAATGTAAAAATAAAGAAAAAAATGTGCAAGACAATAAGAAACACTACCTGCCAAAATAAAAATGAAGTTTTGTTGAAATCGGTTGAAAAATGTAGGAAATCCGATCCCATATATAAACGAACACACACACAAACAACCTGGGTTTTTATAAGTATAACTCGATATGAGTTGTCCCCCTTTCATTCTAACGAGTGATGCCTCTTAATCGTGTTTTCAAATTGATTTTGTGCAAAAACAATTGGCGTTTTTTGGCGCTGTCAGAACCACCGCAAGGTAATTTTACATAGTCCTGTGAAGTTTTGTTGAAATCGGTTGAAAAAATGTAGGAAATCCGATCCAATATATAAACGAACAGACACACACACACACACACACACACACACACACACACACACACACACACACAATCTGCATTTTATAATAAGTAAGATTTTCAGTTACAAAACGGTTATTTCGGAGATCCCATTATTTCTGCATACAATAAATCTCCCAAACCATTTTCTTTTCATATTTACAATATTATTACTATTTGTCTGCTGAATACTGCAAAAAATACTATCTGAATACTGTTGAAAATTTCTTTGACTCAAGGGTAATCAAAGTCAATCCGGCAATAAGTGTTGCGAAACATGCCTAGTCTCGATGCCCAATTTTAAACAGGGATCAAATAATAGAGAGAAGAGCGCAAAACGACTCTGCCCCTTTCAAAAAATGAAGATGGGTAAAAAAAAAGAAAAGAAAAGGCATACCTTAAATAACAAAGAACAGACCTGTGCATTCCCACCATTTCCGGTAACAAAAGACTACAAAATCAGTGCCTTGGAGCAGCCTCGCTTTGATAAACCAGACTCCGTCAACCACTCAGTCTCCATGTCCGACGGCCGCCCCATAACTGCAGGTAATTTCAATACTAATTTTCAATACTAATTTTCAATACTAATAGCACTGTAGATATGAATAAGAAAAGTTAATGGTTTGGGAGACTGTTTTATATCTCTGCTGAGTTACGGGTATATTACGTTGAAACACCGGTTCTCATCCGATCACCGAAGTTAAGCAACGTTCAACCTGGTTAGTACATAGATGAGTAGACACTTGGGAGTACAAATCTTCGATGTGCGGATAATAACCCTGAATGAGAAATCGGATAATCGAGTTCAAATTCCAGTAGAGTTCGTTGCATTCATTTACGTGTTACCCTTGGTTAAGTTAGGAATCTTATCTCTCCTCCCTACTATATGAGTTTAATAGCAGAATAGATTTAGTCATATAGCCTTAGTTGGCAGCCAGTCTATTACAGGAAGTAACGGCAAGTCAATCATGAATCGGAAAGAGTCATCACGCATCAAACCTAAGGAAGGAAACTGAAAACTAATGCAATACTCAACTCCACAATTATCTGCTAGTATTATTTTTCAATAAATAAAGTAAAATGATATATTATCTTTTCTGATCTTTCAATAATTCATTTTGTAATAATATAAACCCTAGAAATGAAGATATTATTCTGACATTATCACAGTACTCAAAGTCAGAAAACAAATTTACCAAATCGCTATTTCTAAAACGAAAACCACGTATATTTGCCCAAATAATCCATTGAATAAAAACTATATTTTATTTTACAATTTCAAACATGGGAACAAATTAACAGAAATAGAACAATGGAAACATAAATAGTGAAGATGCAAGCTGGATTATTTGAAAGAACAATGATTATATTTCATCTCAGTCGTCCAATATATTTTTTTTAGTCAATACTTAGACGAACTAATACGTAAAAGACAATGAGTCAACAATATTAGGATTTTTTTCGTTTCATTTTGAAGCAAAACAAATAAATCTGGTGTGAAATTATTTCCATCGAAATACTTAATATAGACAATTTGCATATAACCTGAAATATGAGACACTCTTGTGAACAGATTTTCAGATAAAGACAATCTCAAAACATTGTCAATCTGTCAAAAGAGAAACTTATTCTGAATTATGTCACCTAAACATCAGGTTATTTTATTAATTTATGGATCTACTTCGAAAAGCTCTTACACTGAGTATAGCTTTCGGTCTAGATAAATGCAATTTATAGTCAACTAAACACTTATTTTTGTAAGGATAGATATTTTTTTTATTCTGTCATTAAAATATTACTATTACATTCTCATTGTAGTAAGTTTAACTTTCATTGTCCCATTATGGTGGGTATGTGTCAAAGATAAACTTACTAAATATCTACATAACAGTTTGGTTATGTCCATCTTGTAATATTTTCCTTTACATTTCTTGTTCCCTCAATTATGGATTAAATAGTAAGTGGCTAATCTGATTAACTTTAATAGAGGAACCAGTGTAGTTCTGAATTTAAATCTGTGGAAAAAGCAATAGGAAATTTCAACACCTATGAATCATGGCAATTAATAGATATTACAAGAAAGGAACTTGAATAGCCGTACTCCCAGAAGCAACATGACATCTAAAAAGACTTAATATTAACAATGAGTACACATTTGTGTCTTTCCTAATCACCAGGTTTCAGTGACATCAGATGAACCATCAAAGTGTATGAAGGGAATTCAAACCTCGTCCGAAGTTCGTGATTTATAATTCAAAAGGTATAATATTTGCGTTTAAAAATAAACAGATATAATAATCAAATATGCTAAGGCAAAGTTAACTGAATTGGTTTTAATCGATATTGTCCTACTTGAACCAAGATAGGTAAGTATTCAAAGCAAATGAAAACCAAGGAGATGGAATACAGTTTTTCAGAATTAACAAGATCGTCTTTCTCTGTTTTGAGGTTTGACGCAACATTCCTTCTATAAGGTTCCTTTATTTTTACTACCTTAGATTATGTATAAGTATATATATATATATATATATATATATATATATATATATATATATATATATATATGTGTATGTGTGTGTGTGTGTGTGTGTCTGTGTGTGTGTTGTGTATATATATATATATACATATATATGCATACATATTTATGTGTGTGTATGTATATATCTGCACACACACATATATACACACATACATATAATATATATGTTTGTATATATGTGTGTTTGTGTGTGTGTGTGGACACCCGTTTCGTTGAATATGACGGACAAGGAAAATATTCTATGATCTTTTATTCAGTTTTCCTTGTGCCCTTACAGTTTTCGTTTTATGGCGACTAAAAGTGTACAGAAACTATTCGCCGTGATTATTTTCCCGATTTCTTATATAAGAAAACTTACGGACATTTTTAGTCACTAATTCAACTAATTTTCTTGTTTTTTTTTTTAATTTTCAGCGAAACTTATATCTCTTCCTCAAAGTTGCATTTTAATAAATACATTGTCTCTCTCTTTTCACTTTGGTTTCTACTTACTTTTTTAAAAAAAAAATGTAATCATTTATAGCAAAAGTATGCCAGTAAAAGTAGTACACTTATTTTTGATGAAAAAGACGACTACCTAACATGAACGCGTGTGTGTGTGAGCGCGTATTCACCCGCGTGAATCTTAAGCCTTTTAGCTTGAAAAGAAATTCGTGAAACCTAATTTGAAAGAATCGAAACTCAAAAAGTAATCCCGTCCCATAAATAAACGGACAGGGAGTTAGACAGGGATTTTCGATTGTGAGACAGCATAACAACGGGTAACAAAAAATTACGAAAGGAGAGTAGAAAGAATAAAAAAAAAAAAAAGTAAAATAGAATTAGGAGTATTTAAAATTTAAAAAAAAAGAAAAGACAGGTAAAAAAGTGATGCAAAGAGTAGAAAACAAGTAATATATATATATATATATATATATATAGATAGATAGATAGATAGATAGATAGATAGATAGATAGATAGATATGAAAAGGTCTGAGATAGATAGATAGATAGATAGATAGATAGATAGATAGATAGATAGATAGATAGATAGATAGATAGATAGAAAAGATGCAAAAAAGAAAGAGAAATATGGAAAGAGAAAAGGGTGGAAAGAGAAGAGAAAGAAATGGAGAGAGAGGAAGAAATAAAAAGAGAGAAATGGAGAGAGAGAAAAGCAAAGAGAGAGAAAAGGCAAAGAGAGAGACAGAACGGCAAAGAGTGAGAGTGGGAGTGAGATAAAGACAAAGAGTGTGAGAGAAAGGTAAAGATGAATGAAAAAAGAGAGAGAAAAGAAAAAAGAGAGAGAATGGAAAAAAGAGAGGTAGAAGTAAAGAGCGAGAGAAAGAGAAAGTTAAAGGAGAGTGAAAGGCAAAATGGAGAAAGAGAGAGAGGGAAATGATTTAGTGAGTAAAAGAAAAATGGCGAAGAAGATAGAAAGTAAGAAGAATTGAAATGTCAACTGACAGGGAAAAGGAGAGAAAAAAGAAGAATTATAAAGTAATAAATCAGTAGATAGTGTCAAGTTGTCGCAATGTAATTGTGCATGTACACAAAAGTTGATACCAGAATAAAGTAGAGGAAAGCACCGATGAACACTTGCAGGTATTCTTTCGATAGAACACTATGACTAATACTGATGTTTTATTATCTGGAATCATGTCCGTGGGAGTTGGCTACAGTTTAAGAAAAGAGAAATCTATACCCAGAAGATAATTAGCCTACTTCCCTCCCTATAAGACGCATTGTTATACCCCTAAAAAGAACTAAAAATCACCCAGTGTATTATATCGCGATGGTCGCGTTATTGATTCTAGACTAACACCTAAACAAATTTAGGTTTACAAATCAAAATAATGTTAACATAAAAACATGTAAAAACATGAATGAATCAGGATTAGGTATTCTATCAATGTTCCTTGCCCAATTTAAGTGTTCTTGTTATCCGTCGGATGTTATATTAATTTACATACACCGGAAGTGCTTCCATTTTCTTTTTTGTGATTCAGATCTAAACAAGCAATATAATGAAATATTACAAGTAAAAGATTAAGGTCTGGAGCCCACTCAATGATGTAAAAGATCATTTGAACATTGTAGCAATCATCAAATGTCCACCATGTTGCATTTCTGGGGATTCAAGAGAACTGATATTTCTAAAATTGTGGCTCCCCAGAAGTACTCATAACATACAACCTCTCCTCGAATTTCTCATCGGGAACAAAAGAATAGAAAGCCACTATGAAAATACATCCCCACTTATATGTGGAGCAGGTTTCCGATGTGATTAACAGCGCCATCAAGCGGACAAGTGCGGAGACTATCCATTTATACCTGTTTCTTAATTTGCATATTCTTTTTCGCTCTGTCAATTATATACCATGCCTGATACACGCTTAGGCGATAATGATTGACCTGGCAGATTTTTTTCCTGCAGTAGGTTGCCATTTCTTTCTGTGGTAGACCAGTTGCAATCCAATGTTAAAGAACCCGGTATGTTCTGTTATTTACCCAGAGGTGGAGTAAGAAGAAGAAGATTCATACATTTCCCAAGGGTATTAGCATCAATATATATATATAGGTATATATATAGGAATATATATATATATATATATATATATATATATATATATATATATATATATATATATATAATTTAAAGAAACATGTCTTATAGCACTTATTTATATATATATATATATATATATATATATATATATATATATATACCGCATCGAGCACTATCACGTTTACACCTCATTTATAAATGCAACGATTATTTATTTGCCTTCCACGTACGCACACAAGCACATGCTTGCTTATATTTTTCATATCGTTTCATTTATCTACCCTACAACTATATATACGTGTGTGTATATATATATATATATATATATATATATATTTACGTATATATATATATATATATATATATATATATATAAAATATACATAAAATATATACATATATGAATATGTATATATACTAGTATATATATATAGAGAGAGAATACATATATATATATATATATATAAAAATATATACATACAAATATACATGCATATATATATATACGTACATATATATATATATATATATACTATATATATATATATATATAAACAATAAATATATCATATATATATATATATATATATATATATATATATATATATATATTTATATATTTATTGTTTATTCGTTATTTTTATAGATACAAATATTTAAATAA